TTGCTGCGGGGAAGCCGTGGTTTGGAGTGATGTTGGCGGGATGCGGACAGGGATAGGAGAGGGACTTTCCAGCTGGGGTGGTGGGTGCATAGGGGCTTTAAGCGAACCAGACTTTTAAACAAGGCTTTGGGTACTCTTCAAGTCCTCCCAGAGCTTTCTGAAATATCTTGTCTTGTGGCTGAGGTGGGAAGGAAGGAGAGAAGCTGTCCTCTGCCTGCCCCTGGCCAAGTGCTGCTGCAGTTTCTTTGTGCTCTTCTGTCCCCGTGCACCCCTGCCTGCTCCCACCCAGCTTTGCCAGGGCTGGTCCCTGCCTGTTTCCCCTGCCACCATTATGGTTCTCCTGTTCCTCTGGGGCTGCTTTGAAAGCTACAGCTGAGAAGGACAAAGACACTTGCCCCTCCTTAGTTGCCAGGTCGCACACGGTCGTGGTCCTCTCAGCATGCTGAGGGCCCAAGGTCAATGCTCAGAATACCAATGCCCAAAGGGAAGGATGCAAGGACAGCAAAATCTGTGCTGGCTTAGAAGCACCATTAAAGCAGACTGCGCACCCTCCGTGGACGTGATCAGCACCATCACAGAGCCCGGGACCTGCGCAGGCTCCTGAAGGCTGAGGAGGAAAAATTTTGCTTATTAAGGCTGGACTTGATCCCCTGAAACTGGGATTCAGGCTTTATCTAGCTATGGGCAGACTGAAATCTCAAGTGCTTTCCATCCTGGTGGCAGCACGGGGGAGCCTTTCAGCTCTTTGGTTACACAATTGGCCAGGTGCATGCTGAAACCTTTCTGTCTTTTTTTTCCACCTTCCTCCGAAGGATCTGGAATGAGTCATTGCCAAATGCAAGGCACTGAGCCTTCAGGTCTGCTCGACCAGAGCAAAACCTGCTTTCCTGGGAAACAGCGTTCATTAAGTGTCCGTGACACAGCAGCAAAATATGTACTACACCGATGGCATCTCTGATTTATTCTTCATGCTCCATCTTTCCTTCACTCTGTCGCACCCTTTCACGCTCTTTCGCAGTGAATCAGCCTAGATATAAGGTGGATTTGAAGAAAAGTGGACCCTGCCCACCTCGCCGATGCCAGCCCTGGGGAGGGAGCCAGCCAGCTCAGCCCTGGGGACTCTGCAGGGACAGTGGAAAAACGCTGTGCATCTCCCGGCTCTCTCTCGAGAAACAGCACCGCTGAGCTGTCTGAGACGCTGCAGCCGGGATGCAGCAGGATCTACCCTGCACTTTTTCACATGCCTCCTTTTTCTGCAATGTTTTTTTTTTTTTTAAATTTTAATTTTTCTCTTTTCATTCGTGCCTGTTCCCAGCTTTGAGAGCATGTGTTGTTTCCAGCCTATTTAAAAGGCCAAGCACTCGACTCGCGGTTACTATTTTTACGCCAGATGCGGCACCTCCGCGTCCTAACGCAGGTCCTGCTGGAGCTCCTGTCTGAACAAACGAGGGAGAGGGGTGGCGCGAGCGGGGGCATTCGCTGGCACAGCCCCACTCGCTGCCTGCCTCCATGGCTCTCTGCCCAGCCCAGCAGCTCCCTATCACAGTGCGGAGTGGTTGTAGCCGTTACCTTATTGCTTTTTCCCCCAGTTTATCTGAGCCATTTGAAGCAGCCCCTGTGCCGGAGGATGCACGTTCTGGTGGATGAAACCCAGCTGGCCATTTCCCACGTCACATCCACTGCCTTTACGTGGTAGGGTTGGCCACTGGTGGTTGGGTTTTAACTGCCAGCATCTTAAAACACCCTCGAGTGTTTCTGCGAGTCGTCAACATGGGCAAACCTCCCTCCTCCCCTCACTGGCATTGCTTTCTGTGGAGCCACCAAGCTCAAGCACAGGCCGAGCAGAGGCTGCAGGGGTTTTCCTCTCTCCCATCACCTGCTCTTAGCACATTGCATCACCCGTGTCCTCCCTTGCCGTGACTCTCGCAAGACCAAAATGAGACCAATGCAGGTACGAAGGCACCTGTGCCCTCAAGGGTGACCCACCAGCACCTCACTTTGCTCTTTCTGCTTGCAAAGATGAAACCATCTGGAAATCCTTGCCAAGACAAAGCAACGGGATTCACTGGGTTCTCCAGGCGCTGGGCAAGGAGCAGGCACAGCAGTCCCTGAACCCTGTGCCTGGCTCTCTTGAGCCTTGAATCCAATTAGTCATGTTTTATTTTCCCCTCATATGTTTTTCCAGTGTAATTTGGAGCCTGAGTTGTTAAGTTTTCCCAACAAGTGTTGCCATAGGAGCCTGTATTTGTTTAGGGTGGGGTACAGGTTCCGGTGAGTTGAGAGGAGGGGCAATTAGCCCGAATAGGTGTAGAGAGAAACTGAGCACCTCTTCTTCCCCATCCTGTCCCTGTGTCTGTCCTCCCCCCACCTTGCACACAAGATCTGGAAATCGTTTCAGACCTGTGCAGCCGGGACAGGCAAACCTCCCCATAATCGTATGGAAACTGCCGGAGCGGCGGGTGTTGTTTTGCCAGTGAGTCATGACAGATGGAGCAAAGCTCAAGGAAAAACTCCACCGCGTGGAAGGCTGCAAAAGCAAAGCACACCCAGAACGTGGTGTGATTTCCCTGCCAGCCCCAGCATCCCTGCCCCAGCCCTCCTGGTGCTCAGAGCTGCTTCGTGGCTCAGAGACCTTCTTCGATCACCATTGTTTAAGACCCACTGATGCTTTTCGAGGGAAGAGGAGTGTTAACACTATTGCCTTAGTGAAGTTGTACTCTGGTCTCCTCTGGACATGATTCACAGCAATGATGGGAGACAAATTCCTTCTTTTTATTTTTTCGAGTAAGCTACCTCACCCGGCCGTGCCTCAGTTTCCCATCTGGAGGAAGGTGCGCTCTTTCTTCTCCTGCAAGATCTTCCAAGGAAATGCATTCTCACTGTGACTGCCTGGGTTTGACCTGGGTACTGCAGTACTGGTAGCACAGCCAGGCTCAGTGGTTTGCCATAATCCTTGCTGTTGCTTCCTGAAGTGATACTAGCCTGCGTTGAGCCCATTTCTGTTCCTTGTGAGTCACGATGACAAAAATGCACATCTCTTCCATGGTTTTCACATGGCTCTGTCATGTGAACTGTTGGCATTCTCACCAGTCCTGCACTTTGGTTTTGGCGCAGTGAATGCAAGTTTATCATGGTGCGGTGGCATTTTTCGGCTGGCTGTCATTCAGTTTAGGGGTGCTACAGGCAAGTGTCCATCCGAAGGCTGGGTCTGGGTATTTTCTGAAGCCCGGTTGTCATCTGGGGCCACCAGATCCAGTGAAATGGGTCAGCTGCTTCCATGACCAAAGGGGTGGCCAGATTTCCACCAAGAGCCCTTTCTGATGACAGCAGTCCTCCTGGAGGTTGGCCACGGTTGCCGGGCCAGTAGCTACCATCACAGAGCCTGGAGCAGGAGAAGCATTTCATTACTAATCACGCGGTTAATGAATGGCCTCTCCATTCTGTTAGCACATTTTGGCAGTGCTGATGTGTTTCTGTGATAAATAAACCTCGGCTGCAGACTGCTCCTGACAGCTCGTTGCAAGTGCTCCACATGCACGTTGTTTGGGTGCACCAGTCGCACAGCGCTGTTTCTCAGCCCCAGTTGGCTGCTTCTCAGCCCTAGTCGCTTGTTTCTCTTCTCTGATCAGATGATTCATGTCACTAAACAACAGCAAAATGGATTTCTGAATGGCTGCTTGGGCAATTTCACGTTTCTGGACAGAAAGCTATTTTGCTGCAGTAGCTTTCTGTTTCCATGTTAGAGCTGAAATTAGAGAAGGCTTGTTAGTGGTGGAGCATTTGTCTGGGCTGCACCAAGGCAACGTGGGCTCTGCAGCTCCCCAGTTGTCCAGGCAGACCCGACAGTGCAGCAAAGGCACTGGGCTGTGTCACACAAAGAGGAGCCACCATAATTTTGGCAATGCAAAAGTCCCCACCACTCAACCATATGAATTCCTTACCGAGGGTGGAATTTGGGCCATAAAGTGAAATGAGGAGGAAGATGGGCAAGACTGAAACTGGAAGGTGGCCACGTTGCCAATATTTCTTGTTATCTGTAGCCTGGTGCCTCTCTGCTTCATCCAGAGCTGGATTTTGCCTGCAGGGAACTAGTCTTAATGAAGACCCCTTTTGTTTGTCCCAGCTGGCCATCAGATAAGTAGCCTTGTAGCTCAACCTGCCAAGGTTTGGTAGAGCCACGTGCTGTGGATAGGGCTAGAGTCTCCAGTGGAGAGTCTGGAGGAATTTGGAGACCTTGGGGTCAGAGCCAGGCCAAGAGTATTCTGTAACAGGCAATAGTCCTTGCAACCCATGCTTGCCAGTGCTTGGCTTGTCTTGAGTGCAAGTAGCTTCTGGGAGACTCCTGACCTTGCTGAACCTAGTCCAAGGGAGATAAAGAACCTGCCTTAGACCGATCCTCCAGCAGGATGCTCTGGTGATCCTTGTAACAGCCTCTCTGCACTTTCCTGCCCAAGCCAGGTCACCAAGCTCAGCTTCAGAGCCAAGCTCTTTGGGAGGAAAGGTGCTGGAGAGAAGAGTTGGGTCAGCTTTTTATAGAGCTCTGCCCGAGCTTCAAATGTGCAGAGAGCTGGATTACAGCAGAGACACGTGAGAGTGGTGTGAGAAGGTGGAGGAGCAGATGAGGTGGTGAACTCACTCCTAGTTGGGTGGCACCGGACTCCGTGGGGAAGCACTGAGTGGGATGGGGATGGGGACTTGTGACATTCAGGTTGGGGACCTCTCTAGCAATGTGGATTTGCTTTCTTGCTTCCTGACACAATTCCCCGATGGTCAAGCTACAACTGCTGCCCTCTGAGCACCCACTGCTCCCTACACACCGGCTGGGAGAGCAGCCTTCCGGTGCCCTTTGGCTTTGAAGGGGGGGTTGTATAGTGTGGAACGGAGCCTTGACCCTCATCAGAGGTGCACAGGTGACTTGCCGAAAGCCCAAGATCTCTGCTTTTGGGGAGAACCTTCTGCTTTGAATAACCCTGTGAGCAATGCCTCGTTTCTCTGCCTAGCCCTTCCAAGCAGACGGCTGGTGTGACACCATCAACAACCGGGCGTACTGCCAGTATGACGGGGGTGACTGCTGCTCCTCCACACTGTCTTCCAGAAAGGTAAGCGGGCATCTTCTGCACTGCTGGCCAGCGTTTAGGATTAAGTGGTGACTGCTAGCCATGCTCTTTGGCTTTGCTGGCCGTGGAACCGAGCCTGCAATGCAATTCTCCCACGAATGGAGAACAAACCCATGTTTTTAAACCAAAGCCAGCTGAAGCTGATAGACCTCATCCCACTGATTACAGCGGGGTTTGGACCCAGGCCAGCAGGACTGAAAGCTCAGCTCAGCTCCCACTGAGGTTCACAGGATTCCCTCTTGTTTTGGGAAACGAGTCCCAGAGAAATGACTTCCATAGGATGCAGCGCTAGCCATGGTGACCCAGAAGTCACCTTGTCATACAATTGAGCAACCTCAGGGGGTTTTTGGTATGGTCCATTGGCGTCTGCTATGGGCTGCCTTTCCCTCCCAGTTCTCCTAGGGAGGGAAGAAGGGAGGAATAGAGGAGGAATAGTTCGGTGTTGGGGTTGCACAGATCATTCTTTGTCTCCCATCACAAGGTCCCCTCCCACCTAACTTGCTATCCAGCGCTCACAGCCCATCCTTCCTGAGCATATCCAACAGCAAAACAAATCACAGGGCATGAGATAATTTCTCACTGCAAAAATATGTGAATTTGGATCTTCTCATCTTTGTTGTGGAGCTTGAATCATTTTTCCTTTCATCATGCATACACACACAGAGAAAAGGAAAAATAAAATCCTGGGAAGATCCAGTTGAGATAGGATAGAAAAGGCTTTACACCCAAGTGTTGAGTGAAAGCTCCACAGTGATACCATGACATCTCGGAGCAAGGCATGGCTCTCAGGAGGTCTGAGATATCTGCATCTCTGGCCAAAATAAAGGATGGGTTTGCAGTGGAAGGTGGGGGGATTCATTCTCCTGAGATCCATCTCAGGAGACCCAGTCCAGCTCGCATCCCTGACAGGTCCCGGATCTCCCACAGCACAAGCCTGCAGTGCTTCACTGTTAAGGTAGATAAGGTTAAGCCTCCAGCCTGCCTGGATTTTCTTAATCCATAACGCACAAGAGCTGTATGCATCTGCCCTGGCTCCTACCTCGGGTGGTGTGGAGGCCAGCCTGTGCAGCTGGGAGCTTGGTGGAGTTCCTCCAAGAGGTGCAGAAGATGAGGCTGTGCTGCCTTCATGATTTGCTGAGCCTGGAAGAGCCAGGAGTAGCTTGAAGCACAGGTCCATTGGCTCAGACATGGACAAGGTGGGCTTTCTAACAGAGACCAAAGTAAAACTGAAATCTAGAGGTGCCTCACCACTGCCCACCCTAGGCCAAATGGCTCACACCCACCAGGGGAGACCTCTCCCCAGAGTTTGGCATTTGAGGTACAAGACTCAAGTTGACTTTTGGTTGCAACATTTGAAACACAAATTAACAATAAAAGGAAAGCACTTAGAATAGAACTCGGCCAGCAACATCCTGTACCAGAGCCCCTTTCTCAGCAAGCACAGAGCCTGGCAGTTTCCACAGTGCCAAAAACATAAGGGTGCAGCTGGAACTGTCTTGTCTATCCATACCAGGTTGGGGAGGGTTTGGGGTTCTGGTGAGCCGGGGAGCTCAAAGTGGAGGCTTAAATCTCCCTTCGGCCCCCCCCAGGTGATCCCATTCGCAGCTGACTGTGACCAGGACGAATGCACGTGCCGTGACCCGGCGGCCGAGGAGAACCAGGAGTAGCAGCACCACCAAGGGCCTCTCTCGGTCAGGCGAGCACCGGAGGAGCGACGGGGCAGCAACAGGGGCCACTGGGGACTGGCAGGGTGCGAGGGGGCAGGAGGCGTATGGAAGAGCCGGGCAGGGGGATGGCGACCACGTGTGGAGGGGACAGGTTGAGGCCACCGAACGGCCAGCAGGCTGCGGCATGGGAGGGCAGGCGGTCCCCTCCCCATCGCGGCTCCCTCCCAAACCCAGCCAGGACACCGAGGCCCAGTGCACGCTGGAGGGGCTCAGCCTGGGGTCTGGCACCGCTGCGGCCACGCACTGGGCTGGGCTCCACGCCGAGAGTCCAAGTGCTGCTACAGACATTTGTCCTGGTCTGGTGTCTGGATGTCTGTCTTTGCTCTGGATTTTGTCACTATTCACTCCCCTCTGCTGTACAGGCTTCTTCTAGCAAGGTTGAGGTAGTTGTGATCTCTCTGCAAATATTTAAA